TCTACTCCCATGTGTACAAATACCAAATGAGTTAAAAAGCAGAGACTGACACAGGCACCTGTGCACCAATGTTTACAGCAGCGTTATTCAGAATAGCAAAAAGGTGGAAACAATCCAAATACCCATCAACTAATACATGAATAAACAAAATGTGGCATGTCCATACAATGGAATATTATTCAGCCTTAAAAAGGAATAGGATTGTGATACAGGCTCCAACATGAATAAACCTTGAAAACATGGATTGGTGAAATAAGCCAGACACAAAAGGACAAATACATATTATATGATTACACTTAGAGGACCAGAATAGGCAAATTCACAAAGACAGAAAGTAAAACGGTACTTACTGAGGGGCACAGAAAGGGAAAATGGAGAGTTGTTGTTTAATGGTACAGAGTTCTATTTGGTATCATAATGAAGGTCTAGAAATGGATAATAGTGATGGTTGCAAAACACTGTGGATGTACTCAGTGTTACTGAATTGTCGCCTTTCACAAGAGTCCCCAAAGTGCCTGAAGCAAAAAACCAACAAAACTCAAAAGTAGAAATAAGTGATTCAATAGTAATAGTTGGGAACTTCAATCTCCCACTCTCAAAAATTGATAGAACAATTAGAAAGAAATTTAGACAAAAGACTTGAATAATACTATCAAACAACTTGGTCTAATTGAAATTCATAGATCCTATGATACCCTATGACAATGAAATATATTAATTTTTTCAAATGCACGTGGAATATTCTCCAGAGTACACCATATGCTCTGCCTGGTGCTGGCAAACATTTTCTGCTCTCCAAATTCAGCAACATATAAAAACAATTACATGCACCACGACCAAGTGGAATGCGAGCACAATTTAGGTTCTGCAGCCCACACACTCTCCCTCTCGCACAGTCTTCTGTAACGATTCCTAATAATCTAAAAACCATTCTTAGGTTTCAGGCTGTACAAAAACATGCATGTAACAATAAATTTAAAAAAACAGAAATTATACAAAGTATATTACGTGCCCACAGTGATATTGAATTAAGAATTAACAAATGAGAGAAATTTGGGGAATTCTGAAATATTTGGAAATTGATTAACATGCTACTAAATAATCCAAGAGTCAAACAAAAAATCAAAGGGAAATTTTTAAATATTTTGAACTGAATACAAATAAAAACAAAATATATCCAAACTTCATGGGGTACAACTAAAGGAGTGGTTAGAGGGAAATTAATAGTTTTGAACAGCTGTGTTAAATAAAAGGAAACATCTCAAATCAATAACCTAAGATTCTACCTTAAGAAATTATAAAAGAAGAAAACTATACCCAAAGTAAGCAGAATAAAGGAAACAGCAGTGGTTAGAGTGGAAATCAATGAAAAAGAGAAAATTGGTTCTTTCACAAGATCAACAAAATTGGCAATCCTTTAACTAAACGTACCAAGAAAAAACAAGACACAAATTTCCAAAATCAGGAATGCAGGCATAACTGCCAACCCCACCCCCCCGAAATTAGAAATGAAAAATTTCTAATTTCTAATTTATGGCAACAAATTAGATGATGTGGATGAAATGAACAAACTTCAAGACAGAGAGAAAATACCAAAACCAACTCAGGAAAAAAACAATGACCCTGAACAGATCCATGCAACAACTAAAAAAGCTAAATCAGTTTTAAAAATCTTCCCACAAAGAAAAGTACAAGCGCAAATGACTTCACTGGTAAATTCTATCAAATATTTAAAGAAGAAGTAATACTTACAATTTACAAACTCTACTCAAACTATGAGGAAACACTTCCCACCTCCTCCCATGAGCCATCATTTCCCTGACCCCAACGGCAAACGAAGGCATCACTAGAAACTGCAGAGCAGTCTCACGTATGAATGCACAAGCAGGAACATGCAACCAAACGTCAGTAAACCTGACACACCAATACATGAAAAAGGACTATACACCCTGACCATGTTGGAATTTACCCCTGGAACATAAGGCTGCTTTAACGTCAGAAAATCGGCTCACGTAATACACTATTACTAGAGAAAAGAACAGAAAACTCCACATAGATGCAGAAAAGTCGTTTGACAAAATTCAACAGCTCAATGAATAAAATTCAGAGTTCATTCATGATAAAACTTCTCAATGAACAAGAAATAAGAGAGAACTAATAATTTACTGGCCAGACCCTCCAGAATAGTGATGAATAGAAGTAACAGCAGACAGACATCCTTGTGTTGTTTCCAATTCTAGGGAAAAGCAATGCAGTCTTTTATCATTAAGTATGAGGATGGCTGTAAGTTTTTCATATGTACCCTTTAAAAATAATGAGAAAAAGGCATCCAAGTTGGACAGGAAAAAGTACTGCGGTTTACTCACAAACAATATGTTCCTGTATTTAGATGACTCCAAGGAATCCACGTATCACACACAAAAAAACCTACTATCAGAACTAATCATTGCATGCAGCAAGTTTGCAAATCACAAGATTAATATATAAAAATCAACTGTATTCCTATATACTAAAGGATAATCCAAACACGAAACTAAACAAGTTCCAATCACACAGGAATCAATTTTAAAAAGAAGCAGATATAAAAGGCTTTTATACTGAAAACTGAGAAGATACAAATGAATGGAAAGAGATCCCACATTCATGCACTGGGAAATGATGGTATATCGCCCTAAATTTATTTAGAGATTCAGTGTGAGCTCTAGCAAAATTCAAAGAGAATTTTTTGGAGGAATGAAATTGAGGAACTGATACTAAAGTAATATGGAAACACAAAGAACAGAATAGCCAAATAATGTTAAAGCTAACAAAGTTGGCCCTGGGCTGACGGTTCAGTGGGTTGGAGCATCATCTCATATACCAAAAGGTTGCAGCTTTGATTCCCAGTCAGGGAATATACCTAGGTTGTAGGTCTGATTCCCCAGTTGGGGTGCACATGGGAGACAACAAATTGATGTTTCTTTCACCCTCTCTCTTTCTTTTGCTTTCCTCTCTCTAAACAGCAATGAACAGCTCTGGCTGGTGTTGCTTAGTGGATTGGGTACTGGCCCGCAAACCAAAAGGTTTGAATTCCCAGTCAGGGCACATGCTTGGGTTGCAGGCCAGTTCCTAAGCAGGGGATGCACGAGAGGCAACCATACACTGATATTTCTCTCCCTCTCTCCTTCCCTTCCCCTCTAAAGATAAATAAATAAAATCTTAAAAAAAAAGACTATGAGGTATAGATACACGGATCAATGAATACAACTGAGAGTCCTGAAATAAATGCTAACTCATATAGTTAGCTGATTTCTGAAAAAGATGCCAAAGCAACTCTGCTCCGGCCCGCGGAGCAATCAACTGGGGCTCGACCACCTACCTAGAACAAATGAGTTGGGGGACAAGAGGCGCGAAGAATGGCAGCAAGACAAAAGATTCTGATCAAGTTGCAAACTTTATTTTTCCGAACTGGGTATATATATAGGGGGGAGGGAGAGGAAGGAGATTAGGTTGCTTGCTATTGGCTAGCTTGAGACAAAGAAGGGCCCGCTTATTGATTACTTGGGTGCAACTGGTACACGTGGACACCTCATGTGCCTGTAGCCGATTGGCTTGGGGAGCGCATGCACACCTCATGTGCCTGTAGCCGATTGGCTTTGTGGAGCGCACAGGTTCCTGTAATCAATGCAATGTTTTTAGCTAGAAGCCAGGTGTAAGGTTCCCAACAAACTCAATGGAGAAATAATACTTTTTTCAACAAACACTGAGTTCTAGAACTGACTGCACGGCCATAAGCACTAAAATGTATTTCGACCTTACCACGCAAAAAGCTTAGCTGGATAGGAATCATATACCTAAATTTAAGAGCTAACGCTATAGATAGAACTTCTAGAAGAAAACACACTAAGAAATTTTTCATGACCTTAGGATAGACACAAATTTCTTAGACGCAACAACAGAAAAAGAAAATAATTAAACTTCATCAAAATTAAAAACTTTTGTGCTTCAATGGATACTATTAAGAAAATGAAAAGACAGTTCACAGACTGAGAAAATATTTGCAAATCATGTATCTGATAAAGGACTTCTATCCAGAATATACAAAGAACAAGTACAACTCAGTAAGACAAACAATGCAATTTAAAAATGGGCAAAAGATCTGAATAAACATTTCACCAAAGAAGACACAGGAATGGTTAATAAGTACATAAATATGTTCATCATCATTCATTACGGAAATGCAAGTTCAAAACCACAATAATACAGCACTTCACACAGTAGGATGGCTATAAAAATAACTAAAAAAAAGAAAGTAACAAGTGTTAGGAGTAAGAATGGGAAATGGTACTTCCACTTCGGAGAAATTTGGTTGTTTTTCTTAAATAGTTATCATAATAGCTATCATTTGACTCAGAAATTCCACCCTTAGGTCATCTACCCAGGAAAAACAGTGTCCACACAAACACTTGTATAGAAATGTTCATAACACCATTGTGTATACTGACCCAAAACTGGAAACAATTAAAATGTCCATGGATAAATGGATGAACAAAATCTGGTATGTCCATACAACAGAATACTTGTTCAACAATAAAAAGGAACTACTGATACATGGATGAACCACGAAAACATGACACCAAGTGAAGAAAACCAAATGCAAAAGAGTATACGATATGTGACTATTTATATGAAATGTTCAAAAAGGCAAATCTATAGAAACAGAGAACAGATTTGAGGGCCTCTGAAGACAGGTTTGGGATGAGGACAGACTACAAAGTACTCACAAGGGATAATTTTTAAAGGATTATGGAAATGTTCTAAAACTCCATTATGGTGATGGTGTAAAACTGTACATTTACAAAATCAATACACTTAAGGATCATATACTTAAAATGGATAAATGTTATGGCTATACATTATGCCTCAATAAAACTGTTTTTAAAAAGGAGCCAAGAAGTTAAAAAGAAGCAAACAGAAGAGCAAGAACAAAAAAAAACTAGTATGTTGAGTATTTCTCTTACCTCTGCTGGATATACTGGGCATAATCTGAGGAATCATATTATTGCTTGTGTCCATGGGCTGGGAACTATCCTGACCCATCTGATCATCTGGTGGCATATAGGCAGGAGGTGGAGTATCGGCTAAGAGAAGAAAATCAGACGAGTTAAAGACCCAAAGACTAAAGTCTTCATTCTGCTTAAAGTTACTGTAAAAGAATTTTAAAATTCTTAAGATTACCAGCAGGGTTCATTACTGAGTATCACGGACACACAAAAAAGCAGGATGCTATCTTAGGGTAAGAGAAAAGGAAAAAAGACAGCACAACCACTTGCTACTGAAAACCTCCTGTAAGCCCACATATATTTGGACAGTCCAGTAAGAGCAGTGCTAAAACTCAGTAAAGTAGAATTCAAAGTCAAGAATTCTGTCTTTATTTGCTTAGAATCACCTACTCGGAAAAACTGCAAATAGTGGAAATGAATCTGAAGGACACAATTATCCTTGTATGCTTATGTATCTACAGAGACACTTTTAAATGAGCAAACTCATCACATACTGTACACTGTTATTTAAAACTGGAAAATACAGTTATGTTCCTTTAAAAACTGCCATCAACACTAAGAGCAGTTTGTCTAATTTTTTTGCAACAACCTAAAATGGCTAGATAATTCTCTCAGGAAACTGAATGTTAACTAGAAAGTCTCTTGAGTTCCAACACTCATGGTTGAAATTCTTTGCAAAATCTACAGCTATACTTCTTTGTCTCAGTAACTATAAATACTAAATATACTTTGTCTTTCACCCCAAGGTTTGTACAAGATACATTTAGAGACAGAACTATAATCAGAACTGAATCTAGGACAAAGTATAAAAATTAGCTTTTGAACAAACACCCAAAAGCAAGTTAAACAGTTGGTACTTAATTCCTCTTAAAAAAAAAACAACCCTCTGCATCAATTGATATTCTGTGGCAGAGAAGCCACAAAGAATATAATGACTCTGCCTGCAACAGGCATTCAAGTATTTGTGACAGTGACAGAGGATGTGTCGGTATGTGACATAACATTAACAAAAATTAAAAACTTGATAAATTATAATCTACTTATCTTTCTCCAGGCAAATCGGTTCACAGTTATCTTATTCAAGATAACTGGAATTCATTTTAACCTTCCAAAGTCTAAAATAATCTGACAAGCAAGGTAGTAAAGCTGAAAAAGCAGAGAGTATAAAGTCAAAGAAAGTTGGGTTTGAACCCCTATTTATTAGCTGTGTGACTTTAGGCAAGGTACCTAAACTCTTCGAGTCAGGATCAATTCATTTTTCCACCTGTGAACAGGAATAATATCTATTTCATGTGCTGTTCTAAAGATTAATTTAATGCAACATTTTTCATCACAGTATCAGTTATATAAAAGTTAATAAATGGTTTAGTATTATAAATTATATAAAAATGGTGGATTCCAGATGCTTCACAAAATATCCCTTGTGAGTACTTTGGAGTCTGTCCTCATCCCAAACCCGTCTTCAGAGGCCCTCAAATCTGTTTTCCGTTTCTATAGATTTGCCTTTTTGAACATTTCATATAAACAGAGTCACATATTGTATACTCTTTTGCATCTGGTTTCCTTTACACCCATCAATAAATGGTTTAGTATTATAAATTATATAAAAATATTTAAATACATGGTATCTGCCAAAATGAAATCCGAAACTCCCCTGTAAATCAAACAATTACCAAAGAATATAGAATCAAAAGTAGCTAGCTCTTGGCATATAACAGTTCACCCAAAGAGCCAGCAGTATAGGAACAACTGCTGATTCTCAGGGAGTCATACTTCATATCAATAAAATAAAATCTTACCTGGCAGCTGAAATGGACTTCCTGGCCCAGAGCTTGCTGGGGAGTTGGGGTAGGTGCTGCTAGCAGGTGAGGGAGGGTAGGGGCTATTTGGAGATAAGGGGAAAGGAGTGTTGTTGGGCTGGTGGAAAGAATCTGGAAAAGTTGCATTTTGTGGCATGTGCGGCTCATTGTGGCTCAGGTTCCTAAACTGAACCAGAAGGCTGTGCTGCGGATTGAATTCATTATGACGAGGCACTAATACTGGAGGTAAGACTGAAAGACAAAAATCAGAAGTCATCTGTCAGCAACGACTAAAGCAAATATTCCATGCATATTAAGGGGTACATAGAAAAGGTTCAGGTAAAACTATAACCCTATCAATTCACTTTTAGGAAGGCCTACTTTGTAGAACCTTGAATCTATTTATGTAATAACTAATCCCAGATTCTCCATGCATCTAGCATATATAAAGTGACAGAAAACCCAGAGAAGATACGACTCCTGTTCTATAAGAGATAAGGCATATTTTAAAACAACAGTAATACAGAAAATTTAATGCAATGAGAGTTCAACAAAGGTGAGTACCTCTAGCTGGCAATGAATCAAACAGAATGTTGTGGAAAAGACAGTCTCTGAGGGGACCTCAAAGAACTAGGAGGATCTCACAGCGGAGTGCCAATGGTGGGGAGACTCCAGGAGGAAGGTCAGAAAGGATAAAACGGCGGGTCTAGCCACTGAACCAGGAAGCAAGAGGGAGAGACTGGTGAGTTGAGGTCAGCTATACAGATGTCCTGAAAGCCTCCAGGTTTCCAACTTTGAGCATTTCATGTTTCTCAGTTTCAGAGATCTCACATTTTATGTTCTTTGGTCAAGATTTCCTCACTTGAAAGTTTTCCCATGTAGAATCTTTTATTCAAAGTCAGTTTTCTAACCAGGACCATATTAAAAATATTTATCAACAAAGCCCAAACATTTTAAGAGATACATTTTTTAAAAGATAATCTTTTTGAATAAAGCCAAATATTCACTTTCTCCATAGACCCAAGAGATCAACCACACACAGTGTTTGATTGCCTTTCCCCATAGAAAACAGGAACAGACCAATTTCTTTGAACTCACTGAAGCAACTCATCTTTTACAACTTTCTTATATTTGTCAATGTTATTTCATTTCTGAAAATCTCTTTCACATCATTAGCACCAACAAAATCAAGGTTTCTCAGTTTACTAGGTCATACTCCCCTCCCAGAAGCAGGGTGTACCTGAGGAATCGAGAGGCTCTGACTTGTATTGTTTGCTGTTTTTATTTTACTGAACTACTATTGTAATTATGTGGTTAATGTCTGTCTACAAGGCTTTTATCTACTGTGTATCACCAACTGCTGCCCTCCTTAAAGAACAAGGGACAGCTGCCACCAGAGAACAGGCAGGCGCTGGGCAGCAGGAGCTTCCGTGTTTAGCTAGCCAGCAATCTGAAAAACTCAGGAAAATAACTACTTAGAAATTCAATCTAGTAAGAATTTTACTTTTTTTTTTTAATGCAAAGCTAAATATCACAGACTTCTCCCTTATTTGTATATCTATACACATTTTATTATTTTATTTTTACCCCCTAAAAATACATGGATAGTTTACAAAGATTGATAATACAAGAGATTATAACAAAAACAGCAACTTCCAAGCCTCATCCATACTGCTTCCAGAAACAAAAAATATACTGCCCTGGCTGGTGTAGCTCAGTGGATTGAGTGCGGGCCTGCGAACCACAGGATCGTGGTTCAATTCCCAGACAAGGCACATGCCTGTGTTGCAGGCCAGTTCCCAGCAGGAGACACACGAGAGGCAACCATACATTGATGTTTCTCTCCCTCTCTCCTTCCCTTCCCCTCTAAAGATAAATAAAATCTTTAAATATATATATATATAAATTCTTAACCATTTTCTAATATTTTATGTACCACTAAATAATATGTTTATATTATTATTGAGTTTATGACATTTATAGATTTGGTATGACAGCAAATGAAGTGGCTTTCTTATTATCATTCTATCCCATCCCCCTTTCTCACAATAAAGTTACATTAAAAATTTTTGGTTAAATTAATATCATGTTAATATTATATATGAAGATTATTCCTTGTTGAGCTAAGTATATACCATGATTATAGTTTCTCCTGAACAGTGGTTTTACTGCAGTTAATTATTGCCTTGTTCCTCTTCCAGAAGTCCAACAGGCTTGTCAAATTCCTGTCAACAGTACTTTCCAGACACCACAAATAAACACAAAACTCTGTTGACTCCATGTTTCCCCCTGGATCCTCCATCCTTCTGCTAAAATCTAGACTAGTTGCTACTTAAGTCTCCTACAAATCTGCAGTCCTTGGACTTCCCTTCTATTCTCCTCTCTCCTGCTAGATCTCATTTCCTGAGCCTCACCTCCTTCAAATACCTTCCTAAGTGGCAGGGTATAAGGAAGATAAATTTTGAGTCCTTGCACATACAATACATCTTGCCTTTTGTTTGTCTGCAGACAGATTCTAGAATACATAACTTTTTGTCTCTGAATTTTGGGGGCAATACTTTATTTTCTTCTAAAATCCAAATTTCCATTAGAAATACAACATTCTCATTTCAATCCTTTCTACATGTTCTGTATTTTCTCTCTAAGAGCTTTCAGAATATTTTTTTTTATCCATAATATACTAAAATTTCATGTTTGGGTCTTTTTTTTATCCCTCATCTGGTTATTCAGTCACTGGACCTTTTCAATTTTCAGTTCTGGAACTTATTCTAGTAGTATTTCTTTGATAATTTTCCTCTGCCATGTTCCTCATGTTCTATTTCCAGGATTATTACTATTAGAATGATATTTAACTTGAAGTTCATTCTGAAGCAGTTAATGTTTGAATCTAAGCACTTTTCATACATTAACTCATCTAATCCTCATACTAAAACCAGAGGGTAGATATTATTATTCCTGTTTCACAGATGAAGAAACTAAGCCACAGAATGGTTATATAACTTGCCCATAGTCCCTTTCATATACTGATAAAATTAGGATTAAAACCCAGAAAGTCTGGTTCCAGAAACAACACTTAAATCCCCAGACAACACTGCCTATTAGATTAAGGCACTGGGCCACCTGGGTTGACCCTGTTTTTCTTTCCCAACTATCTTCCACCTTTGTAGTACTTTCTCTTTCTACAATATATTAGCAATATAATCTTGTATCAGTTACTTCCCTTGGTTTTCCTTATCTGTAAACTTACTAGGTTCAATTTTGTTTTTTAAAGATTTTACTTATCTGTTTTTACAAAAAGGGGAAGGGAAGGAGAAAGAGAGGGAGAGAAACATCAGTGTGTGGTTGCCTCTCAAGCACCCCTGACTGGGGACCTGGCCCACAACCCAGTGATGCTTCGGTTTGCAGGCCCATGCTCAATCCACTGAGCTATACCAGCCAAGACTGTAAACTTACTAGGTTTACAGTGTTAGTACCATTTTCTAACCCTATAAAGAAATAACCTCATAATATTAAAAAAAGTGCCTGGTCTACAATGCTCAATACACATTCATTACTATTACAGTTACTACTACCCCCACTTCATTAATACTGCAACCATAAAGTGATCCATCCTTTATAATGATGCTTTACTTGCTTAAACATACCAGGGCTATGCCCCAGTTTTTTCTACAGAATGAATCATGGTGGAGAAAATAGATTATTAAAAAAATAAGACACTTCCCCCTGGCTGGTGTAGCTCAGTGGATTGAGCACGGGCCTGCAAACCAAAGGATCGCAGTTCAATTCCCAGTCAGGGCACATGCCTGGGTTGCAAGCCAGTTCCCAGCAAGGGACCCATGAGAGGCGACCGTACATTAATATTTCTCTCCTCTCCTTTCCTTCCCTTCTAAAGATAAATAAAATCTTTTAAAAAAATAAATAAAAATAAGATTTCTACTGGAAGATTGTTAATCATACAGTGGCTATTATAATACACTGAATTCCTAGACCAGCCTAAATCAAGCTAGGTAATTTTTCAGACTATACTTCTCTATTAACTCCTCAAATCTTCCTTTTTTCATCAGTTCCTAAAGGCCACAGATCTCCTTGGATTAAATAAGAAACTGAGAGTCACCTCAAATACCAATTGGCAGCTCTAAAGCCCTTAAACTGAACTTCCCCTGGCAACACCTCACTGCTATTCTTTCTGCCAGTCTCCACATCCAATGTCCTTTTCACAGCCTTTTTACCATCCTGGGCTTATATTATCCCCACGTGAAACTCAGTGTGGCACACAGACTCCAAGGTGACCACCGTGTTCCCTCCTCTGTGTACCATTCTTGTGAAATCCTCTCTCTGTGAGTGTACCTGTGACTTGCTTCTACCAACAGAACATGGCAAAAGTGGTAGGATGTACGTGGTAACATTCCATAAGAATGTAGTACCCTTCCAGCAAGGAGACCCTATTTTTCTTGCTGGCTTTGAAGAAGTACACTGTCATGTATGTGAGCTACCTACGCAGAGGTCATGTGGCAAACAAATGAAGGCAGCCTCCAGTTGACAACCACCAAGAATCCAACAGCCGGCAAGGAACTGAATCCTCTCAACAATCACCTGAGCTGGCAAGTAGATCCTTCCCCAGCTGGGCTCAGAGGAGACGCAAGCCATGACCAACACTTTGGCTACAGCATTACAAAGGACCCAGTTCAGCTGGGCCTGGACTCCTGACCCACAGAAACTGTGGAATAATAAACGTGTGTTAAACCATTTTTTGTTATGCAGCAATAGATAACTAATGGGCCCAGCTAGTATCTCACTCAGCATACACAGTTCATTCATAACAAAATGTTCTTTACCGAGCATCATCTATAGCACTGGGGATGCAGCACAGAGTGAGACAGAGGAGGGTCCTACTCACTCCAGTCAATAAACAAATATCTAACATAGCATCACGTAATGATGTGGGTATTTCAGCAAGGAATGAATGGAGTGAGAAAATGTGCCATAGAAAGAGGAGAATACTCCTCAAGTAGAGGAAACAGCAAGAAAAAAGCCTCGGTGCAGGAGTATGGCCAGTCCAAAGAACAGAGGAAGTCATGCAGGGTCTTGTAGAAATCTGTTCTAACTCTGACTGAGAGCCTTCAAAGTATTTTGGGCAGGGACTGACATGATTCAACACATATTTTTAAACATCACTCTGGCTGCTATGTAGAAAACAGAATGGGCTGGAGAGGGAGGAAAAGCAGCAGAGAGACCAGTGAAAAGACAACTGGAGGTGGAGGACGACGACATGCTGCACAGAACAGCCATATCGCAGGTGGCGAGCACTGACATTACCAAGACATGTTCTGAAGGCACCGCGAATGGTGTCTGCTCGCAGCCCAAACGCGGGTGTTAAGGGAAATAGAAGATGACTTCTAGGTAGCAGTTACATAAATATTGGTGCCATTTACTTCAATAAGGAAAACTGGAAGAAAAAAATGGCTTAGTGGGAAAAAAATCGGAAGTCCTATTTAGATATTAAATATGGTATTGGGCACACTCCAGTGGAAGTATCAAGTACGCAACTGGACACAAAAGTCTAAATCTCAAAAGAAAAGTTGATTGGGCTTCTAAATGTTAGCCTGAGCTTACAGATGGCTCTAAGACATGAGACAGCATGAGAGCACATAGAAGATAGATACAGATGCAGAAACTGTCCAGGGACTGAATCCTATGAAAACAGGAAAAATGAACCAACAAAGAGCCCAAGCAACAACAGGCAGGAAGATAGGACAACCAGGAAACTGCAAGGTTTCAGAAGCCAATACAGAAAAAGCCTTGAGGCGGGGGGAGAGCAACTGTATCAAATGGCGCTGGGAGGGTGAACAAGAGGATGTAGAATGGCCGCTGTCTCCCGGATCACTAGTGATCCTGACAAGCCAAATGGCAGCGAAGACTAACTAGAGGAGAGTCAACAAAGAATGGAAGGAAAGTAATGTGAAGATGATAAAAATGGAGACTCTTCCAAAAGAACTAGAGGAAACGGTGCAGAAGATTGGGTGTGTGGAGGTATGAATGAGGGCAAGGCGGGAATTCTTCAACTGTTACTTTAGGATGGGCAGCACTACGCCATGCTTACGTGCTGTCACGAATAGCTGAGAGGCCATGAAAACTGGATCATCTATATATAAAAAGCTGAATTCAAAACCCAGTATTCCTTCCAAGATTAAAATCTTTAGGAAGAAGCCCTGGATGGTGTGGCTTAGTGGACTGAGCTCGGGACAGCAAATCAAAGGATCGCAGTTCAATTCCCAGTCAGAGCACATGCCTGGGTTGCAGACCAGTTCCCAACATGGGGAGCACCAGAGGCAACCATACATTGATGTTTTTCTCCCTCTCTCCTTCCCTTCCCCTCTAAAGATAAATAAATATTTTTTTAATCTTTAAAAAAAATCTTTAGGAAGGAAACCACAACAATGTAACCTTTTAATCACTAAATCCAGTTAAATGCAAATCAGGAAAAGATAAGTTTTCTAAATTCTTCTCACAGGAGCAAAACCTACCTGGACTCTCCACTCTCTTATAGTGGTATGGGTTGATACAAACTTCTTTTTGCTTAGATCCAAAAGGAAATTCACAAATATCCAATGGTTTTAGCTCATGATGACTCTGCAAATCAGGCCAGCGCCAGACACGACAATATATAACATGGGGTAAGCCTTTTCGGTGAGAAACTTGCAGACGTCCATCTAAGGACCTGGGGATAGTGACACATTTGCTCGGCTGTCCTGGACTACTCAAGGCTTTCTCCAGCTCCTCCATAGCACCCTTTTTCTTTTTCAGCTTTTTCACCAAAGCATCGACTGCCTTTTCTGCCCATTTCTCCTCTTCATCACCTTGCTTCCAGCCCAACAATCGCTTTACTGCTGGACTAGTAAAAGAAAACAAGCTGGCCATTGACGTCATTTGATAGAAATCTTCAGAGACCTTCCTGCAACTCAAAGTCTGTGGCTCCTGAAAGAAGAGGTCACAGATGTAAAGTCATACACAGGTCCTAAACGGAAGTTCCAATTTAAAAGGCAAGAGTGACATTTATCTTCGTAAGTGCCATAAGCTTCTTTAGATTGGTTCAAGTCCTGAAAGAGAAAGAATATCCCTAATTTAAAAGAATGCAATTAACATACATTAAAATCATTATAATTAAAAAGTATGTTATTTTTAAATAAGAGAGAAAAGCATTATAAACTAAAACAAAAAAAACCCTAAGTCTACAAAAAATTTTTTTCTCAAAAGTCCTGGGATCACTCAATTCCATCTTCTTAATATGAGCGAATAAGTCACAGGCAATGCCAAATAATAACCAAAAGCAAAAACAGGTTTCTCTACCTTCTATGTATTATTTAAAAACAATCAAACAGAAAACAGCCTCTAAACTTTTTAATTCCTTTGGTCAGACCAGGAAGCCCCCTGATGGCCTTCTAAGGTTTGATTCCAAGCACTTTTCTTCATTGAAACCCATGTTACATGCTATGTCGATTTTGAGCCTTATACAGCCTGATCTGAACGAGTGTCTTAAAAGAAATCTAGCTCTTCTGTAAGGTCACTGTTCTCTTTAAAATGTTTCACAAAACTTACAAGGTTTGGACAAAAGCCATGGTCTTATTCAAGTCACATTATTAGATGCAAATTTTATTAAAGCTTGTCATACGATAATATGTACCGAACCCTCAAAAAGAATCTTAATACACATTAACTGCCAGGAAAATGAAAAGTATCTATTTTTAAAACTAAGAAAGGTGAATAGTTTTTAAAACTTTAACCCCCAAAAAGGACAGTTTATAATTTGTAAACTCCTACTGCCGTCTAGGATATTTTAAACACAGTTAGTTAACGAACCTGCTCCAGGCAGACAACGGCTCTGCACCATGAAGAAGCCCGAGGAGCTGATGACAGGAGGAGGTGGTGTGCAGTGGTGTTCTCCTGATGAGAATGCGTGCGGTCCCCTGTGGTGACCACACAGCAGGCTACAGACAATGAGCAACCAGTGAGCAGCAGGAGAAATATCTGGGAAAAAAGATGTCAGTAATAAGAGATGCTTCCTTTCTTGTGCCTAAAACGGCCAAATACCACAGCAGCTAGGTCTGTGACAAACTCTACCATCAGGACTATTCTGCACTGGGGGCACATCTTCCCAGAAAAGAATGTATGTGCTCGGTTAAAACCCAGGTAAACATGAACTAAATTAAATCCAACAAATAATTATTGATCGCTACATGCCACATATTATGAACAGCCATGATGGTGCTTTAAAAAAAAAAATCACACCAAATAGGTTTCATCTTCAGAGCTGAGTCACTCATTCAGCATATGCTTACTGAGAGCCCACTAGGTGCCAGGCACTGTTCCTGGTTCTGACCAAATACTAGCGGCTCTCTACACTATGTTCGAACCGTGGGGAGAACGGTGCAGGGAAGTGAAGGTATACTTCTTATGTATGAATAACTATGCCCAACCCTACATAGAAAAATTTTTGCCGGGTAGGTAAAGCTGGCTACATTAAACTAAAGATACGTAACGAGAATGAAAGCACATTTTTAGTAACAAATATCAGATAATAAAGTGTATGTGCTAAAAAATACTTTTAAAAAGGGCTGACCTCAGTTGCTGCTACATCAAGGACATAGGATACACACCATCTGGGTCAGAAACTAAAGGCATGGTTTGGCTGTATGAGACGAGCAGGGAAATTTCAAGGACAAAAGGATATAAACAGAAAAGTATATGAACATACATGAATAGAGCACTTCCTAGGACCGAGAGGAGATACGCCTGGCTGACTGAGATCTTATTCTGTAATATGGGAATAAATGGGGGCTGGACAGGGTGGCACGTGTATGTGAGAGAGTGTAGATGAGCAATGGACACATATGTTGAGGAAGGGGGAGACAAAAGGAGAGGAGCCTGAAGACCAGATACTAGATTAGTAGTTAACCACTACAAAATGCTTAATAAATATTTACTAATCTAGTATCATAATAACCATATTATGTACCAAAAAGAAAAAAAAGGAAGTTAGCTGTATATGTAAACACAAAACAAACACTACAAGGCCAAGCTATTCAGTGCAGTTACCTCTGGGGAGAGGTATGGAATGGGGAGGAGGGATAGAGAGGGGACCTGTGTGATCTGTTTCATATACTTCTATATTGTTTTGACCCTCTAACAAAGGGAATCAATCATTAATGCATTACTTGCACAATGCTGAAACAGAAACAGTAGGTAATCTACAATAAATTATGATGAATAGAATAGAGTTAAGAGCACTGGTACAAAAAGCAGGAGAAACCAATGCATGTGAGCAGAAGCCAGGATGGTGATTACCCTTTGAAGGGAAGGGTGGGGGTGGGGTACTGCCCAGATGGGAACCTGAGGGTTTCTGCTATCCTGCTAAAGTTCTGCCTCTTGCTCTGGGTGATTAAGTGGGTGAGTTCAGCTAGTGAAAATTCAGATTGCTGGCAGCTAAGATGTGTACACTTAAAATTATTTTCTTGATTTATTAAAAAGCGTCCAGTGGTCAGTTTCCCTTCCATTTCCCCCCATCATCAGTTCCCCTTCTGACAAGCAATCCCTTTTATTTGTCTTTTATGTCCTTCCGAAAAAACTTTCCACAAATACAAGCAAATACAAATACACACACACATAGATACATAATTTTTTTTTACATAATTAGCAGTATACTAAAAAGAAAAAAAGCCAGGTACATAAAAATGTATAAACAATGTATCTTCAAGATCTTTCCATATAAGTATAGAAAGAGCTTCCATATTATTCACAGAATTCCAGTGTAAAAGTACATCAAACCATATCATTCCTCTGCTCCAAAATCATCCAGTAACTTCCCATTACACTCAATATCCAAATTCCCTAACATTACTTTCTAGGACCTATCTGATTTGGCCTTTGGCTTCTTCAAACTCATTTCTTACCACTCTCTCCCTAACTTTGTACTTAACATGCTTGGCTTTTCCATTTCTCAAGTGCTCCAAGGTCGTTTCTATCTCAAGGCCTTTGCACTTAGTGTTCCTTCCTCTGGGATTTTCTTTTCTCACATAGTAACATGACTTACACTCTCAATAAATTCAACTGCACAAATGTCACCTCCTAAAAAAGGACTTTCCCAAACACTTTATTTAAAATCTATCTCACTCCCACAACATTTTCTATCCTTTGATCCTCCTTAATTTCCTTTCATGGCATTAATCCTAACCTGATATTACATTATCGATTTTATTTATTATTGTCTCCCCCCTGAAATGTTAGTAGGCAGGTGGCCTCATCCTCCTTATCCACCATCTCGTACCCTGCACCTGGAACAGTGCCTATTTATGAAATGAGTGAGGAAAAAGACAATTTGCAAAAATACACATGTCTATATAAGAACTGTGTAAAATTTAAAACAAAAAAAAAATGTCACCTATGGTAAACACAGCTACAGGAACAGAATAAAAGGAAGCCTGGAATGATACACACTGACCTCAGGACACTGAACCCTAACTGGGTTGCTTCTGATGAAAGAAAGAAAAATAAAGCAAGCATGGAAAAGACTTACCCAAGTTTCTTTTCAAATTAGATTTGAAGAAACCATGGCAAATCATAAGATGTTAATTTCTCTACTTTCCTGTGTGTTTAAATGTTTTATAATTCAAAACAATTACTATTTTTAATTTTTAAAAGTAGTGTTATGAAAACAGAAGATCAGATGCTGTTCTTTACTAGGTATATATATGACCCTGACCCTCACAGGCTTCCCTCTTTCTAAGCCTATGAACTTTTCTGCAAAGCATATGTAATGGTTTCTAAGTCACTGAAATGTTGGAGTAATAAAAGTATATGCGTATACATGAGAAAAAATACACAGGCATATAACAGATGCTTTATCAACTGGAAAGTCCTTCTCAAATATGAATCATGATCATTAGTATACAAGACGAAAAGTCAAGACCCCAAAGACTGCCTGGATCCAGCCCCAGCCTCACATACCCATCTCTGTAACACCACACACACCTTCTGATCCAACCCAAACCCTGCACCTCTGCCCATCTGTGTTTTCCAAAAGAAATCTCAGTCACCCCTCATGATAAGCTCAAAATCATCCCCTTTTGTGAAGAATCCCTTACTAACCCACCCTAAAGAGGCTATGGCCATTTACTATATTTATTATAATTAATATCTTAAATGACAGAAACATATCTTCACTTCCCAAATAGAGAACAAAATCCCCCCAGGCAGAAGTCTTCAGCACCTGGCACTATGCCATATTCCATACCACATACTAAGGGAGTATACAAGGTCTGTCCAGAAGGTATCCAGCCATGTAATATGAAGAATACAGATATTTACTGAAGATAGGCGACACAAGAACATTATACATAGGGCAATGACATCACAGTCCCCTTCAAAGTAGACACCATGGGACTTCACACAGTTCTCCCAACTGCCATCAGCTGCCCTGCCATATTTTCCTGAATCTCACTGACAGTCTGAAATCTCTTCCCTTATAAAGGTAATTTTAGTTTTGGGAAAAGCTGGAAGTCACTGGGTGCCACATCTGGGCTGTAGCGGGTGATGAGTCACCTGGGTGATTTGATGTTTTGCCAAAAAGCTCGGCATGAGATGCGATACATGAAGCTACCAATCACCAGTTGCCCATAGCTGCAGCTTTCTGAACCATGCAAATAGTTTCCATGAAGGAATGTCAAGCTTACTGAAAAATTTGATGAAGATTCCTAGCTCTACTCACTCAGTCATTTTGAATGCAACAGCCACACAACACACACACTCATTCAATACGTCTACCGCCTCCACTGACTAGTACAGTGAAATTGTCATTATTCACACATGCACATTCCAGTCCACTCTCCTTGGCTGCCAGGTTACAATGATGGCAAACTATTCTTGTTATATATACAATGGCTGGACTTCTTTCGGACAAACCTCATCTAATGAATTATCATTGATTTTTCTATCAAGTGTACCTTGCAATGAAAGTTAACTTCAGACCTATCTGGTATGGCTTAGTGGATTGAGTGTCGGCCTATGAATGTAAGTGTTGCCAGTTTGATTCCTAGTCTAGGGCACATGACTGGGTTGTGGGCTAGGTCCCCAATAGGGGGCATGGCATGCAAGAGGCAACCACACATTGATGTTTTTCTCTACCCCCCAAAATAAATAAATAAACAAAATCTTTAAAGATAACTTCAAATTTTAAACCGGGATGACTAAGATAATGACAATTCCACTAATAGAATTAAGGACACTAAAAAAGTGGCTTTGTTGGCAGAGTAGATGGTTAACTCTACTGAAAAGGGAGCGTGATTGGAGATACAGATTTAGCAAAGAAAAGGTGAAAAACAGATCTAAGATTTTGCACTAAGAAGAGCTGAAACAGTAAGGCAGTGTAGGTTTTCAAAATAATTAAAAAAGCAGCAAGTAAATATGTGAATATTAGGGAACATTCACGAGTATGAAAAAGCAGAAAGAGTTACTGATAACGTATCACTAAACTGAAGATCTTAGAACTAGATACAATGGTATCATAGAAATTTAAACACAAGGGAGAGTTTTAAAAGAATGTGAACCAAGAAAAGGCCAATGACTTTGGTGAATGGCAGTGTCATTAATTAGACTTCAACAGACTGGCTTCGGAATGAGTAAGGAGTGTCAGATTTCAAAACCTAAGGCTCAGTTTGTGTTTTCTTAAACCTAGGTGTAGGAAAAGGGTAGAGACAAACCTTACATCAACTGTTTAAATACAGCATGGTTAAAATTTTTAAACACGTTTAATGGAACTCTTTCCAAAATTGTGTTAGAATGTTCCCAACTATGTTGTAAGTGGTACATGCAAAGTAATCCAAGTACTCATTATCTAAGTCTCATCTTACAGAGTTAAAAACTGGAACAAAATTCATCACAAAAATTCACTCATGAATAAGCCAAAGACCTGATCAAGCACATAAGAAGGAAAACTGGGCTTGACATCACAAGTTATCAACAGATATCTTTAA